TAGATAGATAGATAGATAGAGAGAGAGAGAGAGAGAGAGACCGCAGGACTTCCTGTCTCACAATTCATAAAAGAGGGAAGTATTAAAACTAAGAACCAAGTCAACCAAAGTATACACAGGCAAAGTGTGACGAACAAAGAGGGAAATAGGAGGACGGCTAAGACGGGGTACAAATAAAAGCTGGCCACTTTCTTTTCTATCAATTTTATTAAAGGTTCAAAAATAACAATACAAATATCTTGCTACATTACATTAGTTCCCATCTTAAAAAAATAAATAAATGTAAAAGTAGCACAAAAAGAGAAGTGTAGAATATAAATATTTCTGAGCTGAAGTCAGAGACAGACGGCTGCAAGTCCTGAATCTTCACCACTCCGCTCTATTACCAATCACAGTCAAACTTTCAACGCGGGTCAGAAATTGTTTGGTGGTCCTCAGAAGCTTCTTAACATCTGGATTTCGGTATGTGAGAGACCTGCAGGGTGTGTCTAGGAATTTCTCGGCTACCTTACAAACGGGTTCCCATATCAGCAGATCATTGATAGATGAGTGCTACAGCAAGGCTGGGAGGAGACAATGAGCCCAGAACGATTCATGCTCCCTGAATATACACAGAGTGGCCAGATTATTATGACCACCCCATCAGTACTTCGTTGGGCCGCCTCGTGACTCCACGAGATGATGAAAGGTGATGCGAGGAATCTGACACTGCGCTGTTGCCCTTCTTTTGTCTTGTACCAGTCTTGCCCCTCCCCCGTTCTGCCCTAACATTGACTAGTCGCTGACGGCCACAATTCGCACGCTCAGACCCAGATTTTCGGCTGACAGTCCGGTCTTTAAACACTTTAACAACAGCTGCTCTTGAACATTTAAGGAATTCTGCTGTTTTGCTGATACTCGCTCCATGGCTCCGAGCGCCAACAATCATCCCGCGTTCAAAGGCTGTTAAATGGCGTTGTTTCCCCGTATCTTCAGAAACAAATCACTTCTACTGTCGTGGTAACCAACCTGCTTCACTATTTATAATGGTCTGGCCCTCTAGCAACTTCAGCGCCAAATTATAGCTAATTTGCCTACAAACGTCAGGTGGTCATAATAATCCGGCCACTCAGTGTATATCAAGCCGTTGTATTTATACACGTGGAGAAAGAAGAATGGAGATGGGGAAGAAGAGATGGGGAAGAAGAGACGGGGAAGGGGACGAGAAGGGACTCAATTTGCAATTATGTGATGCACGTGAATGGCCCCCCATCATACCTTTCCGGTGCAGGTATGTGATGTATTAATGCGTTGCCGTGTGGTGTGCTGCCAAGAAAGGTGCAGATCCGATTTATGGGCCGTTCCGGAACATCAACAGCCCATGAAGCGCATGTTAGCACACGGTGTTATTGTGCATGCATTACCGAACTGCACCTCAATGGTTAGATGTGCGGCGCAATTGGCGTTTTCACACATGCATTTCCGTGCAAATCAGGCACAGATCGCAATCGATTAGCGTCATCCTCGGCCACAGCGACCGGGGAATGAAGCTTTGAAACGGTTTTGCTTCCGATTTCATCCTCCACAGGGACGATCAGTGGACAGATGTTTGCCGATAGCTCTCCGCTCTCCCAACCGACCCCCCGCCATGAGCTTCCCGGGTGCCCAGGAGGAGGTGGCATCCTTTGTAGGCAGTGGAAGTCAGCAGGCGGCTTCAGAGCCACCCGAATCACCTCCGACAGACATATACAAACAGCCGGCTTTGCAGAGATATACAAACTCCCTGTTGCTATAGCAACCAGGAGTCTGTTGCCAGGACCCTGGTGCCACCACTGTAAGGCCCCGTTCACATTGAGCGATTTATCGCGCACCAATTCCCGCGAGATCGCGGCTATTTACTGCGCGATATCGCTCTTCAATGCATCTCAATGGGGCAAAGGGTCCTGCAGTCGCGGGTCGTGTGTTGCTACAGCAGGACCCTTTTTGGAGCGGATTTTGCTGTGATTCTCGCTTGCTCAATGCAAGCATTTGCGCGATATCGCGCAAAATGCAAAACGCGCGATTTGCGAATCGCGCAATGTGAACGGGGCCTAAGCCTTGACGTCGGCAGTGAAAGGGTTAGAGCACATATAGACCTACACTTATTGCTCCCAGTGTAATAGAACTTCATATTCAACGTCCTGCCATGTGAGCAGCATCTGTCGTGTCGCCACCGTTCCCAGATGTGCGGTCCAGCTACGCCGAGCTGTTTCCAAATGCTGCAAAATAGCCATTGCCCACACGACCCACCTGCTGGAACAAATCCCTTCTTACCTTCAGCACAGGCGTTCCTACAGACCAGAAAGTATTAAATGTGATGACGTCTATGATCCTAACCGCATGGCAAGGCCGAAGAATCTAGAGGTCCATACAGTGATCGGCATCCTCCTATATTAGATTACACGCTCCCATATAACACAGACAGGTCCTCTTACCTGAGGAGACATCTCCTTGCTGGCGGCTTCCACATCACTGCGCTTCTTTAAAATGGATTTTTTGGGCATGGGCAGAGGCTCTTCTGTAGGACGCGGGCTGGCGCGGGCGTATCCAGAATGCCCCTGAGAATCCCCAGAACGCCAATCCTTCGTTCCGCCCGATCTAAAAAAAGAAGTAATGGTTAAATATGCCGATCACCTCCGCCCATAACCGACCTCAGGCTACACCCTCCTCTACCTTGTATTGGTGCAGACCCACAGGGAAGACACACCCCTGTCAGGGCGGGGCCAAGGATCAGAATTCTAACTTCCTGTGAGCAGAAAGAACCATTTCTAGATAAAGGAAGCCCTCCCCCTGCTGTGCTGCACCCTCAGAGGTACTGCACAGCAGGGGGAGGGCTGTGTATACCCTTGTGGGGTCCTCCACACAGGGTGCGGGGTGGCCGATGCTCTACTTTCTTCCTTTGCATCTTTGTGCTCAGATAAGGGGACCACAAACTCATTTTAACCTTTGACCTGCCCAGAGTTTTGGAAGTGATTCGGATTTGGAGCGGTGGGAGGCTGCGGCCCTAGATCTGGACCGGTCCGACTATCAGAATCTGTGTCTGGCGGGAGATCGGCCTCTCCTAGGTGGAGAGCGTTGAACGTTCACAAGGGGAGAAGCTCACTTTAACCTGCCCAGAGTTGTAGAAGTGATTCAATGCCTGGGGGGGAATTGGGAAGGGGGGGCGCTGTATCTGCCATCTCCTTCTCTGGCACAAAGTGTAGACCTCGGGGTTTAGCATGAAGGGGACCTGTCACTAGCTGCATATACTGCCACACAGGGACGATATCAATCCCTCAGTAATGTACACTCATCATACATGACACTGGCCAGAGAGGACCCCCATACAGTCCCACCCACTTCAGTATATCATACACAATCTGGGCTTTGAGGTCCCATTCACATCATTGAACGATATCCATGCGTTTACCACATGCTATCGCACTGCAAGCTAGGTGCACTGCCATTCATTCTAAGAGGCACCCTACTGCACCTCCCGGCAGCTGTGTGCTGCAGCATCATGCAACATGTGGTATAGCAATTCATTATAGTTTCAATGCGCGTCACGCAAGCTATATCGGTCCTGGCCGGCACTGTGAGGTGCGTTGGGGTGCCATTCAGAATGAAGGCCAATGCAACACACCAGCTCACCCAGCATGCGCCGTGAAATCGCATGCAGGGATGCCGTGCCTTCAGCCCAATGCTATGGTGTGAATTAGGAAAGCACTGATACTAGTATTGGTGCCGATACCAAGTATTTGGGCGAGTACTCGTACTCACCCAAATTCTCTGATACCAGAACTTCCGGTCAGAGGGAGATTTTATCTGACCGGCAGTGCTGTAGGGGAACATGAAGCCGACTTCCCAGACAATCAGGAAGAAGGGTGGCGAGTTAAGACCAGGCTTCCTGACTGGGCGGAAGCCGGCTCCATGCTGATTGGCTAGGAAACGGGCTTCCCGGCCAATCACCATGGAGCCAGCCGAACAGCCAATTTGATGCCGATTGGCTGGGAAGCCGGCTTTCCAGCCAATCAGCATGGAGCCGACTTCCTGCCAAATCAGGTAGCTGGGTCATTACTCACCACCCGGCCTCCTGATTGCGTGGCAATCTGGCTCCATGCCAGCGGAAGCACAGGTATCGGTACCGGCGAGTACTGGAAGCAAAATATATCGGTACTTGATACCAAAAAACGGTATTGGTGCATCCCTAGTGTAAACAGGCCCTAAGAGGTACACCCACCACAG